GCACAAATGAAACCATTCGAAGTCCTTTCGAACTTGACATCTCAGCAATAGCGTCACCATCAACAGATTTTTTGGTTGACTTCCTGCACTTTTGAGTATGATCTAGGGTATCTGTTGGAACAAATACTGGTAGTATGGAGAAGTCTTTGTTGAAAGCACTGTCATCCGAAGGAAACTTCCCCAAACTGGCAGAAGCATCGTTTTCCACTTCCGCATTTGAACAATTTATGCCGTTTTCCCTGAGTTTGGCCAGCTTAGCCTTAGTGAATGCTTTGTTTGGATCAGGGTCAAATACCTTCTCCCTCACTTCAGGCATAGCATTGAGATTGCACACCCTAGAAAGCGAGTACTAGTCAAGCAAAATGTATTGTGCGAACTGCGAACAAACATTGCCCAATCATACTAATCATAGCGATCATCATCACGTGTGAACGCAGTACGCTTACCTTCCAAAAAGCTCCTTTTTATTCCCGCCCTGTTTCACCCTACGACACTTTAGCCAGAATTTCAGTTGATTAACATTTAACTTTCCGATATCCTTGTCATTAACAGAAGCACCAGGGATGTCTTCTGGTTTTAATTCGACTGTGAAATCGTCTAATCGCACATCAGCACAAATATTTTCTGCCGCCATTGTGGATATTAAATTGTGCCAAGGGCTATTAAGCCTCGTTTCCGTGCACAATTAATTTTTTCCTGAATCGGTGTATTGGATACTAATTATTTTCTGGAATCACAAAGGAATCACTATATATTGACACTATGCTTACAGAATGTGCTTTGATTGTCAGTGGTACATTAACTTTACGGTTATGTGGATTATGGATTATAGAGTGTTACTGGCAAATACAAGACATTTAAAATCAGAAAATTGAGAAAAAAAGAACTATAGGTGATGTGCAACCACTGCCATGGGATTCAAAGGACAAAGAGATTTTCGCCATGTTGGATGAAATTTGCATTACAAACAAGCAAAATCCTTTGTCAATGTCATCCAACATGGCGATGTAACTTGCACACCACCTATTGAAGGTTTACAATTGCAAAGAAACTTTCTCACATGCAAGTATGGTTGTTCTTACATTCATTTGGTTGGCAGTATTTAACTTGATTTGCCTATAAGACTCCTCCCAATAGACTCCAGTTAAAGTTCAGACATTTAAGTTTTCATGTGCCTAAACCTAATGTGAGTTTGTCAAGCCATGTTGTTTCAGCAGATCTCATTAGGTTTGGTTTTTAATATACTACCTTCATTAGGTCATCTTAAAACATTTAGTGGCAATGAACCATCCCTTCACTTTTTTATTACTCCGCCCAGGGCCATAACTAGACACAATAATTGGGGGGGTGCATATTCATATATTTGTGTTCTGCCCGACAGATTTCTTTTGAAAGTGATTGTTTTTATGGTATGTGAACATGCAGATACAAGTATACAGTTATACACACACACACCCCCCCCCTCCCAACTTATCGCATCTAGTTATGGCCCTGACTCCGCCTAATCACAATGCAAAAAAAAACTTGAAATTAAAAGGATGATGAGTCATCTGGTTTTAAAATTATGTATTACAACATTGAAAGTTATTTATTGCTTTCTAAATTTAGTTATGCCTAAAATAGCAATTGTAAGAATTCTGTAAATAAGAGTAAAGTATATACTATGTAAGAGATATAAATAGAAATGTATTCATTTTCATTTGAAGCAATCGAAGGTAGTCAAGGTAGTCTTTTCTTGTAACAAGTTGATAAATAAGTGTGTTTTCGTAGAAAAACGTTTCATATTATGACAAAGAAAGGGAAAATAACAGGCTCACATTGGTGTTCTGCAGTAAACTGCTCAAAAAATAAATTACAGGACAAATCTCTGAGTTTTTTCCGATTTCCCTTGGATGCTGAAAGGTAAGAAATTACTTTTTTTTAAATAGGATGCTTTTGGTTTCATACATTAAGTGGACATTCTAGACTACAAATGTTTTTCTATTTCAGCAAGACATCTTTGTAGGATATTATATTTCTTTTTGGGCATGTTTCGGAGAGTCTAAATTAATATGACCTGAGAAAACTTGTAATAATGGCAGGTGTAAAAAGGGGATAAAGAACCTTTCTTAGTTTATAAAATTATTTTAAAATAAGGGAAATTAAAGCATGGGCTTTAATTGTTTACGGGTTTTATTAGAGAGGAGGCTAAATTTACACAGAATTTTACTAAAAAATTATCCACCATGCAGTTGTATTTGCTGGCTTAAATCTCTATGCAAAAATACAATTAATAATACAATTACGTTTTTTTTAGATCAAAGAGATGGGTAGTCAACTCCTGCAGACAAGACCTCGAAAAGAAGGATCCGAAATATTTGTATAACAATTGCCGGATTTGTTCAAATCATTTTGAAGACTCAATGTTTCGTGGGAACTTAAAAAATCGTTTGAAAGAAAATGCAGTGCCTACTATTTTTGCAGTGCCAAATCCGCCCAAGTCAATAGGGTCAAAACGCCGCCTTCTAGTCAATACAGCATCAACACATGGTAACTAGTAAAATTAACCCAGCTTTACGTGGCAATGCACCCATGTGCGCCCCACTTTATTATTTTTACTCTGTCTAACACCAGACGATTTCACTTGTCAGGGGGAGAGTGTTGTCACTTAATGGGTTAATTAACATACAAAACTACTGTAGAACAATTTTTTCCAAACATTTGTTTTGCTAAAATGCAATTGTTATGGTGTATTAAGATTGTTATACTTTCACTTAATAGGTAAGAGACGAAAAACAGACACTGCCAAGAAATTACTTAAAAGGTCAACCACTGATGAACTTGGTAGGCACATAGAACAAACAAACAAACATACAACAAACCTTGATATATTTTTACATGTGAATGAATCACTGTTAGAAATAGGATTTTGTTGGTGTCACCCAATTCCCTTTTGTTCACAAAATCTTTATTACAATCATTTAGGTGAAAGCACATCTTTGTTGGTAACTGAAGACTCCTATGAAGCTATGGAGACCAATGAAGGGTTGCAAAATGATGAAGAACCTCATAATCAGCCAGGTATATATTTGGCAAACAGAGAAATTTATTGTTAAATACATGTATCAAGTTACATAAGGGAGGTATTAACATTTTATCTTTTTTACAGGCAGCTCTGAGTCAGAAATCCAACAAAGTCAAGCTTGTCAGACAAGTTCATATCTTACTCATGGTACTCCCAGAAAAAAGAAAATGCAGAGAAAACTTGCGATTCAGCATAAACAATTGGTAAGATTGAAACATGCTCTAAAAAAGAAAGAAGAAAAGTGCAATGAGAAAAAAGCTCTATCAACCCTAAGAAAATTGCTGCCCAAGCAAATAGTCGACTTTGTTGAAATGCAGCTAAAATTGCACAAAAAAAGAGGGAAAGGGAGACGATATAGCCCAGAATTAAAATCATTTTCATTGTCACTATACCATGTTAGTGGGAGGGCATACAGGCTACTCTCAAAGTTTTTCTATCTTCCATCAAAAAGGAGTCTACGCAGGTGGGTTTCTCGGTTACCAGGAACACCTGGAATTACAGAAGCTGCAATGAATGTCATTGAAACTAAAGTGAAAGTAATGAATAGTATTAGCAAGATATGTAGTGTCTGCATAGATGAAATGTCTTTAAAAACCAACCTTATTTATGATATTTCTGCAGATGAAGTCTTGGGGTTTGTAGATTTAGGTGCTGGTAAGAAATGTGAGCTGATAGCAACATCTGCTCTTGTGGTTATGGCATGTGGCATGGCTGACAAATGGAAGCAGCCACTTGGTTATTTTCTGGTGCATGAATCTTGCAAAAGTATTGATGTAAAAAGAATATTGTTTGATGCCATTGACAAACTCGATTCTATTGGTCTGAAGGTTGTCTGTGTTATCTCTGATTTGGGCTCAAACTTCCAAAAACTGGTGAGGGAGCTAGGAGTGACACCAACACAACCCTGGTTTCTTACTGAGTCTGGAAAAAAGATCATCTTTCTTTATGACCCACCACACCTCATTAAGGCAGTCCGAAACAATCTTATGAAGTATGACTTCCACTTTGGTGGCAAAGTAGCTAGTTGGCAAGATGTTAAGAGCTTGTATGATCGAGACTCATCATTGTCTATTCGCTGTTGTCCAAAGTTGACTGACAAGCATATCAACCCTAATGGGTTCACAAAAATGAAGGTCAAACTAGCCACGCAAGTATTAAGTCACACTGTTGCTACAGCTATTTCCACATATGTAAGCCTGGGTGCCAATGTCGGCATCTGCAGCTGGAACTGCAGAGTTTATCACAGCATTTGATAAAATCTTTGACTGCCTAAATAGTTCATCTGTAAAATGTGCTAATGGTAAACTGCACAGGAAAGCACTTTCTGATAGTTCGGTCCATCTAAAATTTCTTACAGATGAGGCCATTCCATTCTTGTCATCTATTAAAGTTATTAACAGAACCACTGGGGCTGATGCCACAAACACCTTAAGATGCTTAAAAGGATTTCAAATTACTTTGCATGGTATCCTGGCTTTATGGTCTGAGTTAAGAAGTGCTCATTCATTCAAGTTTCTTTTAACTAGGCGTTTGAACCAGGACCCATTGGAGAACTTCTTTGGGACTGTCAGACAACAAGGAGGCAATTCTGACAACCCCACCCCTGGTCAATTTCGCACAGCCTTCAAGAAGTTGTTTTATGATAACTTTCTTGTTTCTTCAGCAGGCAACTGCAATGCAGATTTTAATTCAATGTTGGTAGGAGCGCCATCTCAGAATGTGCTGTCTTCTCTCAGTAAAACCGTTCCTAAAGCTGTTGAGATAGATGTCAATGATTAACGCTCCTCTTCTGTACAAGACAGCCTAATTGGAACAAATGCTGTGGCTTATGTGGCAGGTTACCTTTAAAAAAATGCTTGTTAAAACATGATTGCAAAACATGTAAAGGTAAACTTGTTAGCCAAAAGCTTGATGACAGTAGCAAAATGTTTTGTTTCTTTAAGGCATACCATTCTCAAACTGGACCATTTGGAGGGCTTTTGGCACCTGCAAGCAATTTTGAGGACTACATTGTTACTCTTGAAGACATGTTTGTTGAGTCACTTCCTTCTGTTGTATTCAAAGTTGGTGTTGGTAAATCTTTGCTTTCTCAGCTCCCTCAGTTCTCTCTCCCTGAATGTTCTGAATTTCCTTCTTTGTTTCTTCTTAAGCTTTTCATTCGAATGAGATATATTATGCCCTAAAGTTTAGAAATAGACAGCTACTATCACCAGGGGAGAGTAAAAAATGTAAAAAATATTTTAAGGTAAGCCATTTGTAATCCTTTATACGCAAAGGGTTTCAAAAGAGTTATATCGTAGCTTGAATTTTAAACTATCAAAAAGCCTGATTATAAACTAAAAAAAAACAATGCAAAGTTAATCAAAACTATCTCAATACTTTCCCAAAAAAATAAAACACTAAAAACATTGAAATAGTTTTATCACAGCTTTTATAGATTTTTTTCTTACTGCCCTTGATGCAGTATTCTTGATATGGTATTTTTGATATGGTATTTTTGATACGGTATTTTTGATACATCCACAACTGATATCAAAACTATTATAAGTAATTATATTTGTTCCAAATGCCTGTGGACTGAATTGCCCTATCATTACATACAGAACGATAGTTTCTCACTAGAAGCGGGACAATCCTCCTCTACCGAGAGCGATACTTTAGACCTAAATAAACACCTCATCAACCACATGAGTTCTCTCACCACCAGACCAAAACACCTAAAACTAATGCATCTTAACACCCAAAGCATGGTTTCTACATTCGACGAGTTAGTTCTAACCATGAAGCAATATCCTTTTGATGTAATCTGCATGAGCGAGACTTGGTTAAAAGACAATCCACTGTTACTTCAGCACGTAAACATACCCGGGTATACCTCTGAATTCAGAAATCGTGATTCGATAAAAGGCGGGGGCGTCGGAGCATACATCAATGAATCGTTAAAGTATCGTCGAAGGAGTGATATTGAGAAGAAAGAACCCAGCCTTGAACATTTATGGCTCGAGTTCCCCGGCAGAAATAAACATAGCAAACTACTTGTGGGGACAATATATCGCTCAGAAAAAATGCTAAAATGTACGGAATGGCTGGAACGTTTTGAGAACCTACTCGGGTATCTTACGGCTAGCTGGGATGGTCTTATTTTGGTAACTGGTGACATTAATATTGATCTACTTGGACATTCGAACTCTGTAACAACCTAATACTTGGACATGCTGTCGTCTTTGAACCTCTATCAGCACGTCCAAAAACCAACTAGAACAACATATAAATCCTCAACACTTATAGACCATATAATCTCAAATTCACCCACGCGCATCTCACATACTGATGTCTTACCTTGCCCATTGGTCAGTGACCATGACGCTGTTTATGCCTGCATCAACATCAAAGTCACAAGATTTGAGACACGATACAAGTATATACGATGCGAAAAAAACTTTAACGATTTAAACTTCGTCGAAGACTTCAAAACGTTACCTCTCTCCGTAATCTATGGCGTTGCTGACCCTGATGAAAAACTCGATATATTAAATTCTTTAATTACAGAATGTATTGAAAGACATGCGCCCCTAAGACGAACCAAGATCACGAGACCCCCAGCACCATGGCTCAAAGATCCTACCATCCAAGATCTACAGGAGCAAAGAAACGTTCTCCAAGCCAGTGCTCGAAGAAGTAAGGATGCCCAAGCGTGGGAACTATTTCGTTCAGCTCGCAACCGCCTCAAAGCATTAATTAAAACTGCTAAAAAGAAATTCATGCAAAAAATGCTTTCTTCTAAGAAACCCAAGGAAGTATGGAAAGTAATACATCGCATCTTGCACCCAGAGCCGCGTAGGATCACCATTCACCCTGACAAACTCAATTCTCATTTTACTTCAACGGCAGAACGTACAATCGGCACTGACGTCAATGATAACAACAGTTACGACACTATAAGAAACATGATCGATTCGCTTCCCCCAGACTACGACAATGGCTTCCATATAAATCCTGTCACACTGAGCGAAGTTGTAAATGAAATACGTTGTCTACGAGGAGACTGTTCCACAGGACCAGATCACATTCCAGCAAAAATGATCAAAATTGTGGCTGAATATTTGGGTTCTCCATTAACCGATATCATTAACACCTGCATCGCGAATCGAAGCTTTCCGTCTGCGTGGAAGATTGCGCGTATTTGCGCAATCCCAAAAGTTAAGCAAATCACCTCTGAAAATGACCTGCGGCCCATATCAATCTTGCCAGTACTGTCGAAAGTGTATGAACGCCTAATCTTTCACCAGCTTTCCAAATTCATCGATGATAACAAATTACTGAGTAGCACCATCTCTGCATATCGAAAGGGCCAATCCACCACAACGGTCATGCAAGCCATACGAGATGACATCACGAAAGCAATGAGTCGTTGAGAAGTCACGATGATGATCTTCGCTGATTTCTCGAAAGCTTTCGATACGATCCGTTTTAAAAATCTCATCTCGAAAATGAGCAAACTGGGCTTCTGCAAGGATTTTCTTACATGGACACTAAATTATGTCTCACATCGTAAACAGTACGTTCAGATTGATATTAGATCGAATACAACAAATGTTAATTTCGGCGTACCACAAGGATCGATATTGGGGCCGGTTTTATTTAATATATACGTTGCCGACCTTCAAGAAATTATCGACGCCAAAAGCCATCAATATGCTGACGACACAACAATCTATGAGCATGCCAAGGTCAAACATATTCATAGATGTAGAGAAACTATATCTGATTCAATGAAAAAACTCAACGACTGGTCAAATAATAGCAGCCTTGCCTTAAACCATAAGAAGACAAAAGCAATGCTTTTCTCAACTCAACAAATGTCAAGAGTCCACCAATTGGAAAATTATGAACCTAGAATATTTGTCAACGAATACGAACTAGAGCGCATAAAGTCATGCAAGTTGCTTGGCGTTCATTTCAACGAACACCTAAAATGGGACAACCATATCCGTCACATAACATCTGCCTGCTACGCCACCTTGCAAATATTAAGGAAACTTAAACATCTAGCTTCTTATTACCTTAGAAAGCAGTTAGCTGAAACGCTAATATTATCCAAATTGGATTATGCTGATGGTGTTTTCTATCCACTCCCACAGTTTCTATCAAGGCGCTTACAGAAAGTTCAATTTGCAACTGCTAGTTTTGTCTTGGGTCGATATGTTAAAGATCAAAAGGATATCCTGGAAGTTGGATGGCTTCCAGTTAACGAAAGAAGAGACCTTAACATCCTGAAATCGAGTTTCAAAGCCATGTACTTCCCAGAGTGGCCAGAGTATCTAAAGCTAGAACGACAAACTTGCGTTCGAGAACTGCGCTCAACCAATGCAGTTAGACTAGTCGTGCCAAAAGAAACTGGAACGTTTCAACATAGTGCTGCGAAACTTTTTAATTCCTTACCTGAGAACATCAGGAATTGTACTAATTACAAAGTATTTTTAAAATTAACTAAAGAACTTTTATTCGAAAGAGCACGCCAAAACTAGTTTTCAATCCGAACATCGATCTTATCTAATTTCAACACTTAAACGTTATAGTTCATAGTTATAGAATATAGTATTTAATTAGTATTTTAACAGGGAAGAGCCATATGTATGGATCTGTTGAATAAATCGTTATTATTATTATTATTATATTATTATACGGTATTTTTGATACAGTATTTTTGATACAGTATTTTTGATACAGTATGTTTGATACAGTATGTTTGATACAGTATGTTTGATACAGTATTTTTAATACAGTATTTTTGGAAACTACATTGTAGCTTTATTGAAACCTTGCTAAAGAGGTGTAATTATATGAAACTTTGTGTACGAATATAAATTGCCCCGGCCTACTGTACTTAATCGATGAATATCGATATCAATCGATACCAATCGATATTTATTAATCGATTGATATTGGAAACCGATCGCTTGTTTTGCTGTGACTTTCATAAATTTATCAACAATTTTAATTCATTTTATTCATGAAAAAATGTCTGTTAATTGCATGCAATCAAACAGCTAACACCATAATTTAATTAATATGTACTATAATGTCTAATGTCATAACAAACTCAAATGTGAACAGAATTCAGTGAATTAAATTACGTTTTTATCTGGCTATACAGATCAAATACCAGTACATGATTGTGTACCTTCAAAAAATGGGAACAAATTTACTACTTAGCTCAAACATGCCGACACGCGGCAAATACATTTTGTGTGACTATCCATTGGTTATTGATTGACAAAAGTCAATCGATATCAATTAAGTAATTAACATCGATTGATCGATTGGATTCCAATGATCGGTTTTCATCGAAAATAAATTGAATTGGAAATTGAATATAACAGGGCTTAAATTTTCAGTATTCCTAAATTAAACGACTATATTTGTATAACAGCTGGATTAAATTTTCACTAGTTCTGAATACTTCAAAATCCAATTTTCTAAATATGCATGCACAAAATCATATTAAAACTGCAAATTCAAGCCCTGGAATATTTACTGTAAAGTAGAATTAGTAGATTGATATTAAATACGAACGTATCATTATATAAACTTGATATTAAAGTCAATTAGTATTTGTAGAACCATTGAATAATGTACCATAAAGACACATTATATAAAACAGTCGAATAATATACAATTGACATTTGAATTTATTTATATTTGCTACTTGTAGTAGTAAAAGCTAAAGCAATATTCATTTGAAATTCGAAAATTTATCAAAATATATGGATAATTTCGGCATATCTGTACCGGTATGTTCTATTTTAAAATAAGTTCTTATTTTGTTCTTGTAAATATATATTAGATTGCAATCATATGTAAAATAATTTGGACAAATTATTAAAAAACATTTATATGAGCTGTCATGAGAGCCTTCATACTCCCGAGCAAAATTCGCAACTAAATTGTACCAGACTTGACAAATAAAAGTCGCTTACCTTTTCTTCAGAATATTCATAAAACAGACGAAAATAGTCCACTTATATTCCAAAAGGAGCAGTTTTATTAATCATAGTGCGGTTTTTGCCATATTGTTTATAGTAAAATTCTCACACTATACTACCTAAGAACATGGCCGCCGCTCTCTCGCAGGTGTATGCAGGCCTATGTCGGCGCTACCGCCTAACATCAAAAGAGTGTCCCTTCTGGTTCAACTCCTTATTCTGTGACCATGTGCCTCGCCTTATGAGAACCCACAATGGAATACGAAACTTTTCTGGTAAAGGTATTTCCCTGTGTTTGCTTGTGAATTGGAAGTGCAGAACATACTCGGGTGCTTTCAGGAAGTTAGAATATGCTCGATCTTTAACTTGTCAAAAGTAATTTATAACATGTAATTTCCAACCTACTGTAGGTGTTCAGAAACTGAATGACGACTGTAGGCGTATTCATTCGCAGAAATCCAACAAGTGGGATGCAGCTAAAGATGTCTTGCAAGTCGAGGAAAGGTTAAGATATTTGAGTGATCTACAAAGAACGCCAAGGCAATACAACAAGAAAGCAGATGAATATTGGTCAGCAGGTATTTGTGAAAGTCGCAGCAAGCGTCCTCAGTTATCTAATCAAGAGCAGGCTGATGAAAATGAAGAGGACCTTTCGACTCTTACTTCTGAAGAACTTTGAGCACGCTTAAAAGATTTGGGTATCAAAACAAGACTGCGAAATGCCACAAGACTTATTGATTTGTATTGTGTAGCTTTGCAGTCTCGTTCATAAAGTAACAACCAAGTTATGGTTGTATCACATACATGTAGAAATTTACTCACATATAGTTTATTTAAAGTTGTATATTTAAAGTTATATATTTAAAGTTATATATTTCATATATTGTCAATATTACATGCTCTCTTTGGAAAATCTACTGTTATTTTCTCCAGAGGAATTCTTGGCGCCAATTCTAATGTTCCATTATTGGACACAAACCTAGAAAGTGTCCATGAAACTATAGCTTTTGCTTTGATTGGAAAGCGTATAGCCACACCTTCGCCATGTTGATTTAGGACATACAACCAATCAGCTGACAAACCCAAACGTCCGAAGTCATCCTTACTATATAATTTGTGCCCCTTGTGCTCAGCCTCTTCTCCTCGTCGGTAAGTAATATAACGCCAAACATCCAATTCAATGTTTACATAAGAAGGCGCCAGTGACTTTGATTTTAAATGTGTCTGAATCACATGTAAAAAATCCTGGCATGCTCGTTCGAATCTAGGTTCGTCAGGTTTTGGTGGCTGGTCATAACTCCTAACAATGAAATGAGTTCGTTATTTCATGCGAGACGGACGTGCTTTTAGAGCTCTGTTAAATCGATTTTAAGAACTTAATTTTGTGAGACATACAATTGATATAGCGATGAATCAAGACAATTCTCAAGCTGATTTGTTCATTACAACTAGAGGTTCTTTCAAATGGTTAGGTAGCTTTGAGGAACTTAAAAAGTTTTGTGATAAAATCTTGAAGATCGACTCAAGATGGCTTGTGCCCAGAGGTGGATGTAAATCATTTGAAAACGAAGATATGACGATCAGATGGTACTCAACAAATAATTCACTGATAATTAAAGGTCAAGATGGTGAATCGCTTCGAAATGAGCTTAAATTGATCGCAAATCCAATGGACGAAAGTGTTGGGGACTCACAAGATGACGAGTTGATTTCTGTCAAAGGCGACGGCGACAGTATAGCTTCAACTCAAATTCATGGGAAGGTAGACGAAGTTGTTCAATCGGACGAAAGCCCTCAGGTAACAGCCAAGGACTCTTCTGACTACATTTACTTTCAAAATCAGGTAAGCAAAATTAAATCAAATCTAGATCGGCACATTGATAAAATGAGAGCGGAACTTCAACGAATAGATGATTGAATCTCTTGCAGATCAATTTGATCAGCTAAAAGAATTACAGTTCAACGAAAGGACAAACGAACTTGCCAAATATTGCTTGTCCAACTTAGAGACCCAAAACTGTAAGGCTCAAACAAGAAAATATTCAGCTTAGGATCGATAACGACAGTCTTAAAGATAGACTCAATTCTGTCTCCTACATTGTCTCTGACCTAAACTAAATTAAAGATATCGAAAGTGAAAAGCTTAGTCTACTCACTGCTATAAAGCTATTACAAGAAGACAACAATTTAGCAACAATAAATAACAGGGATTTGGCTTGCAGTTCGTGGCAAACTTCAAGGTCTAAAGCACAAAGTAATGCACATAATATTTCCTCTAATGATGGGCATAATATAACCGTACGCATGACTGGAATCATTGCCATTGGAATCTAGACTAAATAGCCCAAACGTCAACTCGAGGAAGTATGATAGCGCACAAAAGAAAAATCAGTCAACCCAATCTTATGGTCAAAGCAAAAAGTCTAATTTAAAGTCCAATGATAATAATCGTAGTTATCATACTGCGAATTCGAAGAGAGCCGCTACATCTCAAAAGAAATCAACCTAGTAAGCTTGTATTTATAGCTGGAGATTCAATAGTCCAACATGTCCATGGCTGGGAGTTATCTGATGCTGAACGGCGAGTAGCAGTAAAATCATTTTCAGGGAGCAAAATCGAAGATGTGCGTGACTTCCTTAAACCACTTATCCGCAAAAAACCTGATGAGGTGATACTACACATAGGCACTGGTCAACGATGTAAAAGATAATTCGAAGACAGCAGAAGTGGTTGCAGCTGGTATCCTGAATCTGGGTACTCAGGTTAAAGAATCTTTGCCACATATCAAAGTAAGCTTCTCAAGTATAACTGTCAGGGAAGACAGACATTCTATTCAAAATAAAATAGAACATGTTAATGCTATACTTAAACGCATGTGCATTGAAAATAATTGGACCTATATAGATGATAGCAACATTGACTATATTTGTTTAAATAGGCGTGGTTTACACCTAAATAAAAACGGAAGCTCAATTATTAGTAAGAATTATAGCAATCATTTACGCTTAAATTAATATAATGTATAGCCAGGTGGAAACAGGCATACACCGACTAACCCATGCTTACCTAATGTAAAGGGTTTTAAAATGGGTATGCTTAGCATAGCTAGCTTACCTAAACATATAGAAGAAATTAGAGTAATATTGGCTGAAAAATGTCTTGATATTCTCACACTAAATGAGACAAGACTAGATAATAATATTACCAATCAGGATATGTTTATTCACAATTATGATTTAATTAGGGCCGATCGCTCTAGAACAGGGGGAGGCGTCTGTTTATACATAAGAAATCCCATTAATTATTTTGAACGAAAAGATCTGACTAGAGATAATCTTGAAGCAGTTTGTATTGAGGTTAACAAACCCTCTTCTGCATCATTTATTGTTAGTACCATTTATAGACCTCCAGGTGATTCTGTCGACTCTTTTGCCAATATTGAGCAACTAATTAAACTTATAGATGATGAGAATAAGGAATTTTACATGTTTGGTGATTTAAATGCCAATATGCTTGACGTTTCAAATAATGCCACAAAAAACTTAAATTCAATCATTGAACTATATCAGTTAACACAAACAAGCTCACCCACTCGCGTGGCCATGACTTCATCTACCCTGTTGGATGTTTGTCTCACCCTAACTCCAGATAAGTTAGTCTTATCTAAAGTGGTGCAGATTGCTATCAGCGATCACTATATGATTTTAGTTGTTCGTAAAATTAATATTCATCCTAAACAAAACAACCGCCACAAGAAAGTCGAAATTTGAAACTTTAAGTATTTTAATGCTGAAA